AATTGGGATATACCGATGCCCAAGATTTTACCTACTTTCTGCTAAAATTTTAGTCTGTCTTTAGACACAAGTGCTCACACTTCAGTGTTAAATTAAATTAAATTTGTGTGAAACCCTATCTCATATTCTGTGCAAAACGATGGCTTACGAGAAACAGCAGATTTGTGATTGGGTAAATTAGTATGAGACAATAAATTCCTGTTCAACAACCATGGTTTACACCATTTCATTTTAGTTTTTAAGCTCATCTTTTTTTTGATTACACACACTGCAGCCGTTGCAAGAATTAACTCTTCGCCCAAATGTTCCATCTTGTCGGCAACAATGCACGTTTGGGTGCTCTTCCTTCACATCTGTGTAAAACGAACTGAACGTGTAAACGCCAGATTTTCGTTCAATTCATCTGCACAGATCTAGCTTGCGCAAGCCAAATCGTTCAGATGGCTTGAGCGTGTAAACGGGCTTTTAGGCCATGCATCTTCAGAGGTGTTAATGCCACCTGACGCACGATGTAACTCCCGAAACTCACCAGCTGCAAGCAATTTGATTGCAGCGAAACTGAATTGGCTGATGAATCAAAAAATAGTTTTGCGCGAAGCTGCAGCTCACCCAAACACTCCCCCGGCTCCATAACCTCCACGGTCGTCACTACCTCGACTGCCACCGCCCGAAAATCCCCTGGAATAACCTCGGGAACCTCCCGACATGCCGCCACTTCGCCCGCCGGGGGCGCCCCAACGGCCACGCCCTCCATAACCGCCCGAACCTCCGCGGTTCATCATTTCAGCCAACTTCGGATTGACCACCTGAAAACAGCGGCTGTTAGAAGGAAGTCGGGCAGGAAAATGTTACAAGAATCCTTTACCTGATTGGCTTCGTTTAGGACAGACACCAAATCTTTAGCTTGCCGAAAATTGCCGGGCGTGAAAAAGGCATAAGACGTCCCAGTCGTATCGGAGCGAGCCGTTCTTCCAATCCGATGAATGTAGTCTTCGGAAGAGTTCGGATAGTCGTAGTTTATCACGTACTTTATGCCCTCCACATCTAGATCAGAATCAGCCGGTTACGCTTAAGTGCAAGCAAACGCTCACGTAGATGCTACAAGGGGTTTCGAAAAAAACTCACTAGTCGAAGACACTTGAACGCCCAGTAAAGTGTTTTTGGATTGCGATGCATAAACTTCGCACTATGTTTAAGTAGGAGACTTTAACAGTTTTTGTATATATCAAAAGATAGACTTTCGAGGCCATTCCTAATGGGTTTTTCGGGTTTTTATGCCGTCGTTCGGTAGAATTTCTTTTTGACGTTTCGCAAGCACGAGTGGCTTGCATCTTCAGAAGTGGTTTGCTTGAACGCTTACACTGTTCTCATCAGAACCCGTTCAG